ACACGGATAGACTTCTTAAAAAATGGCTGAAACGTCGATTTGTTGATGGTAGGCCGATACGAAAAAATTGCCGGTAGGATTCTTTGAATTCAAATGTGTCAATAAGGATGGTGGTTGGCTAGAAATGTCAAGGTAGGTACTGGCTGTGTTTGATTTAAGCTAGACCTTCTTGTTACGAAAACTTCAAATGCCATGAGAACTAACAATATTTGTCTCAAAGATATTGCAAGATCCCAAACGAATTGGAGAGAGACCAATAACTGGAGACTATAGACCATAAGTCTATATCACAATTCTCAAATAGGAACTGCTGAATTTTAATTGAAAACTTGCTCACTGACAGCTTCTGGAATATTAATCTCTTGTGGATTTGACCCGAACACTTTCATATCTCAAATATAATATTCAAGTATAACAACCCAACTATTTATATCTTGAGGTTAGGCCACTTTTTCTGAACTTCAATTATTTGTCAAGAGGAAATGAACATTAGGCCTCGATGAATTCCAAGGTAGTTTATCTTCATCAGCTGTCAAAGGAAATACGTTCGGGCTGCGTAGTTGGCTGACAAGTGCGAATAGTTCAACGGGATCGTGTTGTTTTTTCATTTGTTTTAAATTAACTCTGTCCGAAGCCTGCTCGATGTGACGATATGGAAGATCGAAAAAATTATATAACCGTATTGTTTGCGTTTCGGTCAAGTCAACGTTAGGAACTGGAAGAGAGACAGAGAGAAACAATATGTGTATCTTTTTTGTACTGACAGCGATATACAGGATGGACCAATGAAAAAGAAACATTGCCTCTAATTGGTGTTTAGAACAAATCAAGTAATTCCACCCGCTCGACCAGGTGCGATCACATTCTCAAATGGAATTAGAGAATATTACTCTAATGAGAATATTACTCCAAAGAGGTCTGATCTGAGCTTAATTAAGCATCAAAAGTTGCTGAGTTGTGTACAGTTTTCTGGTTAGAAACAGTGCTGCTTTGAGAAGCAGCCTTTGCAATTCCAGCGACACGATTGTGCCATTTCAACCACAACAAACTTGTCTTTACTGAAATTATTATATCCGTCTCGGAGACACTTATCTTTCTGGAGAAAACCTATGCCTGGGTTTTCGTGGCCATTGAATTCAATCTGGTTATTTTCACTCTAATAGGCCTTTTCATCACAAACATTTTTTGTGCGCATGCGTCAATTTCAGCCATCTTTTTCGTACTCTTTTTTGTAAACAACCATGTTAAAGAGCCTGCAACTCATGTTTTGAAAATTAAAATATAAATTAACGTTTATTAATTGTGAAAAAAGTGGAAAAAAGTAATAAGTCAAAATAATCAGAAAAAAATGTTTATATCTGTACGAAAAGGAACAACAAAACGGTGTTATGGAGTATGTAAAAGTGATACACGATACAAATAATTCAAAACCAACATATACTATTTTATAAATTTTCCAAAGCCTTGTCTTGAATATCGCGAAAAAATAATCAAATCATCAAGCAAATTACATATTGAAGCAAGTACAAAATGTGCAAAATGTGAATTATGGGTGAAAAAATGTGGCAGGAGTGACCGAGGTTTTAATTCTATTGATTGTTACCGAGGATACTTATATTTGCTCACTACATTTCATTGGAGAAAGTGGTCCAACTGAACAAAATCCTGATTCTTTAAGTTATCAGGAATTTCAACATACCTTTATTGCATATTGCATATTCTTCACTGCATTTTTGAATCTGTAAATTTCATATATATTATGTTGTATTAAATATTTCCCTCTAATAAAAATTACTAAACATATTCAATTCAATATTTACATATTTGTCTAATCAATAATGTCATATGGTACAGCCTCAAAATATTAATGGCTTGATACATTTATTAGTTCCATAAGTAATACTCAACTGAAATATATTTTCAATTACTTCAAATAAATTGACAGTATTAATAAGAATAAAACTGTAAATACCATTTTTTATATGTTTTTAGATAGTAAACAAATGCTGATACCTAACCTCTCAATCAGCTCACTCTTTTTCCTTTTTGCGGACGCCCATGACATTTTAACCACGTTTTTGATTGTTCACAATCATGAGCCTCAACTGAATTATAAACGAGTGAAGCATCATCAATGTTTTTTTCCAATAATTTATTCGTTTGTAGAGGTAATATTCCTTGCCCAGCCATTGTTGATTAAAACAGTACGAATGTTTTGAATTACCGCCATTTCAATATGGCGGCTACGCTTGCGCTCGTCTAATGATGAAAAGGCCTATTCGAAATCACCTCTAGATTCTCATTGAGATATGCAACCTACTGCTGCCTGTGAAGATGTGCATCCGCAGCCGATGTCCTGAAATCCAAACGGAATGACGAGACAAGGTTGCTGTCATCAGCAAAGCAATATATTGGATTCTTGTTTTTTTTCCAATAAGTCGTTGATATACAACAAAAAGAGGGTTGGAAACAATATGGATTGCTTCCAATTCGGATAGGTTTTCAACACTTGTCAGTAACAACTCCTCTAACGGATCTAAATCAGGTGACTTTGCGGACCACACCACTCGTTCTCTTCGAACGATTCATCTGTCAGAAAGAAGTTCATTTGAATAATAACGAGAAGCAGGTGTCTAGAATTGTTAAAATGTGAACATATCGCCCATTTTGTACCAACAGGAAGTAACTTGAGATATGAATATCAGGAATGAAATGCCAATTTTTAAAAATATTGAGGGAAATTTGGAGAATTCATAAGAATCTACAAGTAATTGCAAAAAATATATTTCTGGACTTTTGGCTTCGAACAAAAAAATATCGTGAGAATATGGGCTGGAGAGATCGTAGGCTGACATAGAAGAAACATTTTTCTTAAATATTAATATAGTTGTCTTCGATGGCGATACATCGATTATAGCGGTCCTTAAAATAGGCCCCCGAAGCAGGGGCTATTTTGAGGATGAAGACACGTTCCTTTGACATCTTTAGAGCCTCAGCTATGTTGCGGTCATCCAAAGCAAAAGTTGCTTCACTCAAAATGTTCTATCCCACAAACTAATAGTCTGACAGCTGTAAAATTGGTACATGTGTTTTTTGAAGGTTAGGGTTAACTGAAGATCATATGGATCTAATACTAGTGGCGCCATGTGTGTGTTGGCCTACGAAACTTTCAGCCATCTGGTACATTGATGAAATGAAATTTTTGCATGAAATTCATTAGGTTGTAATTATATCATTGGGAAAATTTTAATTATCCTGGAGATGATCTACAAACATGAACCTAACATGTGATTTCTTGTTGAGGCCCCTCTGTCATACCTATTCGGAAAAAACCGCAGCGTTTTTCTTGTCGTCAGCTCACCTCGTATTAGAATTAAACAACTCAATTACCATAACACAGGTAATTCCCATTGTCAATAGAGTGTGAATGATTTACATAAAAATGTGGTCGATAGCACTTACATAAGAGTTGCGCTACGCTTCACAAATTACTTAGCACAATCGCCACTACCAAGTTCATGAGAAAGTGGATAAAAAGCGAGAAGGTTCAATGCTTACTCTCGGCGCCTATCAAGTTCACGGTTTGTTTATTTATATGTACGTCGGTTTCATTCGATTCGACGGGATTTCGTGGTCGTACGATGATATAAGTTTATTCGAAAAAGGATGTTAATGAAGGTAGTTGAATTCAAATGGAAATGTTGGTTCCTTTTGACTACTTTTGTTTCGCAGCCATTTTTTTTATTCTTTTATTTTTCTGTCTCACTCATTTGAGTAAATATTAGCGCCGGCCTGATTACCGGTTTGAATTCAACGATATTAGCGTGAAGACGTTATACCTCAGATTAAATATTTAAACTGTAGCCATACATTAGAATCGACAAAAAAAATTTAACCCCATTCAACAAAGAGATTCAAGGGTCTCATCTACCGAAACTACATTAGATAAAATTTACAATGACGTAATTAATTCCTATGAATAATGACATACCACAAGCATAGCTTACAGAGAATGAGACTATTGAGCCAATGGTTATGGCCATAGAAAATTTTAACGTCAATATTATTTACAAGAAGTATTTGGGTATGTCCTAAAATCTGGACGAGCTCTTCAAAATGTTAAAATATACGAGGGTGAAAGAAAAATATTGCATTTGAAGAAATAAAACTACACGTTCTGAATTTTGTAATAGACTACAAAAAGTTGACTTGGAAAAGATTTGGTTGTTTAACTAACGTTCTTATTCCAGATGAGAGTATTAGTGTACAAATAGGTTATGTTCAGCTTATGTCACTGATATTAAATTGAAAATTGATTTCAGATACTGAAACCATTGGCGGATCCAGGGGGTTGCAGCCCCCCCTTTTGTTTGTAATTTTCTAAATTGTTTCCACTTGTTCATATCGGTATTCAATTATAGGCACTCATGAATTAGGAGACAGAATCGACCCAAACTAGATTGTCGATGAATTCGCCAAATTGAAAAAAAGAAAGTTATACTTCGTTATCTGAAGTAAATATTCCTTAAAAACTATGAAATATTTAAAACTATTATGAAACAAAGTCTCTTTATTTCTCTTATAATATTCATTCGTGTATTCCATTAAACGCTATTATGTTTTTCATATATTCATATGAGCTGAGGTTCTAAGCAAAACCGTAAAATATATGAACTGATAAAAGCTGTTGACATATAACAATTATCAGAAACATTCTTCCAATAACTTTTAAACTCTAGGAGGCGAAAAAGACACTGATATCCTTGATAGAGGATTATTTTAATTTATTTTCCTTATATTAAAAAAACGATATTACTCGTGAAACCCGTTTTTTCCGTGATTTCAAAAGATAGTAGTAAGGGCTAGATTTTGTTTGAATAACTAGCGCTAAATTTGTAGAACCATAGCACGACAGAATGAAATCCTCGAAAACTTTTGAGGACTGCTTTATGGAATCAGCTCATTGAAAAGCATAATGTATGAATTCTAACACCACTCACCTCTTCATAATCTAATTTCGATGTTAGGGTAAACACCCCTGTCTGCGGATTGAGAGAAAACACATCATTGGCCCAGTCACTAATAACGGCGTAGGTCAGCTGTGCGTTAACGCCTAAATCGGGGTCCGTGGCCTTGATTTGGCCCACTCTGGACCCGCGGAGGGCGTTCTCCGGGATGTCGAAGGAATAGGCGCTTTCCATAAAAGCGGGCGGGTTGTCGTTTGTATCGGTGACCTAGAAAAAAAGTTACGTTACCTTTGTAACCAGAATCGAAAATAACTACAAGAATCGATGTGATGATAGGATCGATCATCAATGAAACCACTGAGTCGTTCACGGCAAACAAACTAAGTTTGAACACACACAAAACTCAGACACTTGTCTTCAATACCAAGCATACTGCCACTCAGAGTGTAAAATTTCTAGGGCATATTATTGATCCCAATTTGAATTGGAAAGTTATCAAAAACGTTATTTGCAATTAGACGGATAAAATCGCTAGTGAACTTGGAGGCAGCCATCTCTGCTTATCATGGACTGTTCAACTGTTATATGACTTACGGTCTAATTAACTTGGAACATTCTTTTTACACTGAGTCATAATTTATTATCCAGAAAGGAGACATTAGAGCTCTGGCTGGTATAACCCAGATTGAACGCTGTAAACTATGGTTCATCAAGTTTGAAAAATTGACACTTCCGTCAGCTATTATTCACAACGAATTAATTTACATAAAAACTCACAAGCATTCGTACACACTTAATGGATATACACAAAATATCCGACTAGAATGAGATCCCAATAATAGATTAACCTCTATCAATAAAAATCTTATTGGTATCAGATTATTTAACTCTCTACCAGACTTTATCAAAAATGCTCCGATAACTATGTTTGAAGCAAAACTGAAAACTCACTTACAATGCTCTTCCTATTATGACATCTCCGAATTTAGATTTCCTCAATGTTAGTTAAAAAAGTGTGTATAATATTATTGAACCGATGGAAAAGAATTTTATAAACTTTATACATTTTGTAATTTGGAATTCAAATATTAGTCTCGTGAAAATTTTATATTAATGACTGTGAAATCCAATATCTATATTTTATTCACAAACATTAAACAATATTTATTTAGATTTAAGATTAGTTGTAGCCAATGACTCGAATATACAGACAAATAGCCTAATCCTAATGCGAATGGCTGTTCTAGTTTTGCCTCAGCTCAGTTTTGCTGTTTCAGTTTTGCCTCAGCTCAGTTTTTCTGTTCCATTTTACCTCAGCTCAGTTTTTCAAATAACCGAAGAGATACAAAATATTGTAACTCTATACAACTTTGAAAATCAAGCCATCTTGAAGTTCTATTGGTAGATGGAAAGTACATAAACATTCAACAAGATGAAGCTGGTAACTATAAATCCTGATGACGCCTTACACCCGGCTCTCCACCACTGACGGGAGATTGATATCTCGTGAACGTTGTCGATATGTTTCGCATTTTTACGTTGATCGTCATTATCGACGGACGAAAAAGTCTTCTGACATGCACCGAGACTCGAGTGATTAGTTGTCATTATTAATGATATACATATATGTACTTGTCGTTTCGGTATGCGAAAATATCCCGCTTTTTAATGGCGTGAGGTGGAGTAGTATTTGAATCCACAGGATAGTTCGCGAGAATCTCATAATCCTGCCAAAGACTTTCTGAAATAAAAAATATCAAAACGTAATCTCTATATTTTGGTTGGTTTCCAGGTTTTGCCGTGGTCTTCTTTGGTTACAATCTCCAAACGTTTCAACTGCAACTGCGGCAGTCATCTTCAGTAGCGTAGTCGTAGTACTCTTTCTGTAGTTTCAACTGCATAGACTTAATTTTTTGTGAGGGGGTGGGGGTCAAGGTTTCTCAAAGTTCCCTATGTTTTTAACCTTCCGTATCAAAAACTGAAATGAAATATGGAAAACTTCATCTCTCTCTCAACCTACAGAGTAGGTTCCTGGCTAATACCACGTTGGATATTGAATTATATCCGACAGACATTTATGAAAGCTACCTTACAGAGGTTAGTCTTTCTTGCATTGTTTATCCAGAACCTACGGTGTAGGTAGTTGGGAGAGATGAATATTTCCATATTTCATTTCGAATTTGGGGAGTTTCGTTCATTTCAGATATTCGAGGATTGAGTTCTCTGACGATTCCATTGATGACGTGAAGGGAGATTTAATTTAGGCTCTTGAGTCCGGTAATGCATTTGTGGTTTAGCCCTGCACACCTGACGAGACCTATAGCAGGTCGAAACAATGTTGTTTGATATTGTTTTGGAAATGAAATTGAGTTTTTCCGTAAATTTTCAACTAAAAACAAAAATACATCGATCGAGATTATGATGGAAAATGGGGAATGTTCCTTCTAACGAAAATCTAGTAGTTTTCATAAAAGAGCTCTAACACAACGCATTTCAACCTTTTTCTTTAAAAATTATTTAAATACTTAAAAAAATATTTAAAAGGATTTGTTTCTATTTCACCATTTGGCAACATCGGTTATAGCTAATAAAGGACAATGAATCTGTTACCTGTATGAGACAAACAAAGATGACATATTTCAGAGGCGTGCTTTTCTGTTTACTTATGTTCCGAGACATTCTGACATTTTATGACATTTTGTGCACCTAACCTATCTTCCTCAATATAAATAAATAACAAAACAACTGTTGCTTATGTGGCTTTTGGAGGTGGTATTGAACTATAATTTATATTTTGCCTCAATTGTTGATTTATAAAGATAATTTTCCTTTTTCAAAGTAGAATATCTAGGTACGTATAAATTATTTCAACTTGATATATTATATGCGCCTAGCATTCTAGGCGCTGTTGCCATAATGTGAATTAGAAACAAGTCCCTTTAAAAATTAAAACCCAACATTTGAAACATCAATTTCAATACTTTTCGGAGTGAATTTGAAAAACTCATGAATTAAACTCAACTTTATTTTGTTCAAACTTGCATTTGCTGTAATAACCCATATTGAGGAACATTCCCCATTGTGTACAATGAATGCTGAAACCTTGAAAATTGTCTCAGTTCTTATGCCTCAATTCTTCAAGTAGCATATTCATACAATCGAAAGCCATGGAAAAATTCCAATGAAGAGGAGCTGCCACCACGTTAAAAATTCCTTAGCATAATTCATAAGACTCTACACTACTGGGCATGGCACACCTGATGTCATAGAGTTACTTGATACCTCGTAAATTGAAAACGAAACCGTAACGGTATCTAACGTTTTTCAGAAGTATCTAATGATACGAGAAGCTAGTAATAAACTGCCTGAAAGTACAAGCGGTGTAATGAATGGGAAGAGGTTACTGTGGAGCATGTTTATAATTAATTGAGGAAGGAATATGAGAATATTCATTATAAAGAGACACGAATTTATAAGGAGGCTTTAGTTTATTACTGCAGAAGATTTGTCACAGGTGGAGGTGCAATCAATCTGAGAAAGTGCTTGAAACATACTAAAATGTGGCTGAAAATTTATATAAATACAAAAACCCCTCCCCATTTTTATATGTCGAACTTTGAACTTGAAAATAGTGTTAGAGAAAAAATCGTATGAATTTTTTGGGAAAGAAAGTTTTTGGCTTTCTACTACTCCATCTGATACAAAAAAAGGGATGAGAGAATCTTCCAAAGAGAGGAAGAAAGTTACTTCTTTGCATGATCTACACATCCATGTATAGAGTTACTTATTATCAAATTGATTACTTCCTTCTTTTTTCTTTGGAAAATTCCCTCTTCCTTTTTTGTTTTGTATCAAGTTGGAGTAGTAGAAAGCCAAAAACTTTCTTTCCCAAGAAATGAATATTCAATTTCAAGGTGCATTATCTTTCTGTGGGTTTTATTGCAATGGTAATGGGAATGCAAATAGATCTGTTGGCCGAACTCAAAAATATTCATGAACGGTTTTTGTATCTTTTACGAGATGACAGCCGATGGCTTTTTGAATTTGAAATTACCAGAAGGGCCAGCACCTATCACAGAAGCTTATTGATTCTGCAACCTTTCTACTGTATTATATTGAAATTTTATACTTCATGAATTTGTTAAAACCTCAGTATATTTCTCAAGAACAAATTTTTCATTTCCGATTGAAAGTTACTCTTCCAATCTTTCGTAAACTTTTATGTGAAAATTGGAAAATGTTTATCGAAACTTGGGCGCGGTATTTTTGAAAAGATGATTTTAGTCAGTTGCGTCAAACGTAGTCTTGTTGTTTGAAGTGCCACCAACCCTGGTACCTTGCAGAATTAAGTTGATGAAATAGAAATATTTTTTCGACATCTTGTGTAGTAATAACTGTTCAGATCGCACCAGATGAGCATCATTTATGTACTTGTGATGCACTGTTTTGAACCTTTGGTGTAGTAATGAATACTACTGGAGTTTAGTCCCAACATCAAACCGTTATTTTTAACACCTCGATACGTGTTTCAATCACCAGGTGATCATCTTCAAGAGAAACATTACTTCATTTTATGATAAAAAATCACTTCTGCAAGGATACATTTTGAAAACTAAACTTCTTGTTGAATTAAGAAAAATATCAAGAATTTTCAAATCAGAGACAAAAAACCCCTTTCAGTGTTAATCGTCGCCTCAGAACAGTAACGAAACCCACACAACACCCCCGTTATTATTATTATTTCCACCGTTATCGGCGACCGCAAATCGCTCACATCGGCAGCCGTTCGAGAATCTTTAATCTCACCGGGATCGAAGTCAGGTAGGTAATTAATTAAAATGGTAAAAACAACAAAGAAAGATGGATAAGATATTTTGAAGAAATGCGGAACTTGTTTCGGACACCAGCGAACCTGCCGTCTCGAAGAAGGCGTGTTACCGACTATTACTGCAGCGAGATGCGGTCATAGCTCAGGTGGTTGACGGCAGAATTGGATGATATCTTATGTATGAAGGTCAAAATTGGAATTGGGAAGAAATGTCCCGTTATAGCAAGACGATTAACTGCTGGTGTCTAGAAAAATACTAATGTCCGTCATGATATTAGCCAGGTAACAAAGAAGATGTACGAACTTACATTGTATGTGTACTGTGTTTCGAATCAATCGATAAAAACGTGATTGGGCAGCCAAGCGGCTTTGGAAGCACTTGGGCCTCACAGACCTGCAGACCACGGCCAAAAATCCTGGATAATAGCCTCACAGAGTATATCCAGAAGACTTTGACAAATATCCAGAAAAAGGCAACTAGTACGAAGTTCAAATTAGATGAAGAATAGAATCGTTGGATTGCTGTCATAGAAGAATGCAAGGAAAAACGCAATGAGCTCATGAGATGGCGTGATTTCCGGAGACTTGAAAAAGATGGGCATACCTGAGGGCATCCAAGTACCAAAAAACTCCGGAGATATTTAATAATTTCATGAATATATTTGTTGTTATTATATCAGCAAACCAAAATATCTGAGTTACTTCAGTACCAGCAGGATGGCTCAATATGAAGTAGGTTATTGTGAAAAATAATTATGATATGTCAAAAACTGCTGAAATCACTTCAAAATTCAGAGAAGAATTGACACACATATCAATGGATTTCAAAATAAGGGGTAATTTGACCATAAAAAATCATCACGTATAATTAATCTCAATGTTTCAGAAGTGAAACTTTTTATCTACTGATTTAAATGCTATGGTATTTTATTGTTAGTCGTAGTTATGATACTGAAGAAAAGTTGTTCAGAATACCTCGATGTATAAAAAAATCCACCTATCCGAAATTTCAGACGAGCTAGTCGAATTGAATGAAATCTTCCCAATACCTTTTGGACTCAAAAACGCACCAGCCCCATCACACCGAGTTATAAATGACCTTAGGAAACAAACGCACATCAATCACCCGCACTATCACCATTATGCAGTTACCGACACACAGAGAAACTAGCCGAAGCTAGCACTTTATCATAGTTGCCACTACAGATGCAGATCTGGCAGATTTCAGACTAACAGCCTCGGCGCAACGACCTGTAATTGTTGATGGTACTGCCGATGGTACTACTCGATTATTCTCCGGTCTCTGCGATTATTAATGTCTCTCCGGACGAAGGAAAAATTCCGAGCTATTTTCCGACATCTGTTGATCGATTTTAGAATTCCGCGAGTCAATCTGCTGGATATATGACATCCGACATTTGTTTCTTCTGCGCGGTTTTAGATAATTGCAGGGTTCGAGAGATTCAACCTCATACCTCGTAGATTGAACTTATGATAGTATCACTTAGGGCACTCTCTAATTGTTTTTATTGGACCACTTTGCACATTCGATTCTGAGACTATCTTTATATATACCCATTACTAGAAGGAGAAACATGACTCAGCACTCGAAGCGAGAACGACTTACAGTGAGTTTCATTTCAATTTCAACGTATATACCGATAAAAAGATATATTGACGTTTGGAAAAGAAATAATTTTCATTAGAGGTGAGTTTTTCAAAAACAAGAATGGCATGAAAATTAAACATACAGTTTTACAAAAAAATTATAAACAATCATTACCTCAATGGTGACTACGGTATCTGTATACTGATTCCCATCGCTGCATCTAACAAGCAGCTTGTAGGTATCCTTCGTCTCCCTATCCAATGAGTCCACCAATCGTAGAACTCCGCTAGTTTTGTCAAGCGAAAATCGACCATCATCTCCCTTGATGAATGTGTACTCCAAGGTTCCAATGGTATCCGGGTCTTCAGCTCTGATGGTAGCGATAGACTGTCCGGGACCCAGGTCTTCTGAGACAGAATAGTGGAGTGGGGCATTTTTGAAAGCAGGTGGACTGTCGTTTTTATCGAGAACTGTGATCTGGACCTGAAAAAAAAAAGAGTTTCTATACTATCTTCTGAATAGCAGAATATTTAATTCACAATGAAACGTGAAACCAATATTTAAGCCAACGAAAAGCATCAGAGGGCTTCAGATAACCCTTAGCAACACTCTGGGTATGCCAGACTCCTTGTAGCTGCCGGTAGGTCTACATTGGAACTACGAAAAGAAGTATGGGCACCCGTCTTTCTGAACACAAGAGAAATTGTCCCCTTGGACAAACCGACAAATCAGCTGTAGTCGAAACCTGCAGCTGTGGCAAAAACCTGCAGACCACGGTCAAGAAACCTGGAAAATTGCTTTCGCACAGCAGAATATAATAATAATAATGAATGGTCTTTATTTTTATCTCGGCGGAGTTTAGCTAACGCTGTTATACCACTCAAACAAATTCTATCACCCAACCAATCTCTTTTACAAAATACTCTATGATATACTTGTCTACTTCGGTTTTTCTCGGAAAGCAGTGTCTCTCTTAGAAAACTATCTGAAGAATCGTACTCAATGAGTAGTTGTGAATGAAGTTATTTGAGATGCTCTATCGGCATTAAAGGGAGTGCCACAAGGATCTATCCTTGGGCCCTTGCTTTTCAGCTTGTATATTTGTGAATTTTATCTGTCCGTAAAAAATGCAATATACAACGATCTCCAAGCCATCTTTGACATTTCTACTGCCCATAAGCTCAAGCTCAATTCTGACAAATCCGCAATAATGATGTTCGGAGCTTAGAGGGACAGAAAGCTCACCAACTCTACTTTTCAAGTTCGCATCGAAAACGATATACTTCCCTCTGTGGACAAGATACAAAATTCAGGATTGTGGTTTGTTCTGGATCTTCGCTTTACTAAACATGTCAGCTCTCTGAACCAATCTTCTTATAACATTCTCAGACAGCTTTTTCCTAATCGTGATTTGCTCAACATAAACTTGAAACTTAAACTATGCGAGTCACCGATTACGTCAAAAATGTCCTATTGCGACAGTATTTATGGACCTTCTTTAAAAAAATCGGATGCTCTCTGACTACAGCGTATTCAGTATAGCTGTCTACGTTTCTTGTTTGATATTCGGAAATATAACCATATATCCCCAGCAATGCAAGAATCAGGATGGTTAAATGTTGATAACTCTTAAATGTTAGAACTCTACACCTTCTTAGCAACACACATTAAGTTTTGATAACTCGACAACCTGATTACTTACTGAAGAAGCTTAAAACATTCTCTACGATTAACAGCTTCACTACAAGGAACAGTTCAGTTCTAGTCATCCTCAAACACAAATCTTCCATCTTCACCCGCAGCTTCTCGTATAATGCACCCAAATATTATAATCAACTACCCTGCGAATTTCGATCATACACCATCGTAAACTTCAAAAAAAGACTGAAGACTTATTTAACTCATTAGCCTCTTGTCCGTTCCCGACCTTGGCATTTCTAAAATGAATATTCTAAAGTAAAGCAATAACTAATTTTTTTTGACATTGTTAACTCGACTTGTGTTCATATTATTTAATTATAGTTTTTTCCAGGTTGAGTTGAAAAACAGCCTCGGCTGATACTCCGCCTATTCACCATATATTGAAAGTTTATTGTTGTTGTTGTTGTTGTTATTGTTCCTGTATACCGTTTTATTTCATTTTTGTCTATCCTATTTGTATTTTATGGTGAATAAAGACGTATTATTATTATTATTTTTCACTTTAGTGTGCGCTGGTTAGGCCCTATCCCCCGAAGCCCCGATACATTCGGGAGGGCGCGCCAGCATTATCAACCAATGACCAGTGTGGGGAGTGGTCATTGGTTGACACACACATTGGATCCGAGAATCATGTTCCCTGAGTAAGCGCAGTGAGCCAAGAATGACAGCCTTCTGCATCTGTGCGGCTAAGATTTCTGCCTTAGTAGATTCCACCAAGGACTCCAAAAATCAGAACATTCATCTTGACAGAGTGATTTGTATAGAGTCTGCGGAGTTCGAAGAGAAAATCTCGATATTTTATCCGTTTTTCCTCTTCTTTTCTAACGATATTCGTCTCGCCAGGAGCTGAAAATTCCATGACAAATATCGTTTTGGTCTGGTGGTCGAGAAGGACTACATCAGGCTTATTAGCTTGTATGAGCCTGAGGGTGGGGAATGAATAGTTCAAATAAATTCGGCACTTCTCGTTCCCCAAAACGGATTCAATATCTCCTGGAGCGTAGGGCAACTCCGGTGTCTCGTCAATACCGTAAGAGTGCCGTAGATGATAATATAGCACTCTTAGGGCCGCGTTATGTCGATGGATATAGGCCGAGACCGCATATGCTGGACATGCTGATAGCAAGTGCATGAGAGTCTCGGGCGCCTCGCGGCAGGCCCTGCACCTTGTGTCAGGAACCTCTATACCCATCACGCGACTGCGGTAGACTAAGGCGTTGAGGACACCATCCTGGCAAGCCATGATGAACCCCTCAGTTTCCGACTTCAGCCCACTCGACCTGAGAAAAGCAAACGTCAGGCGCTTTGATAAGCCAAGGTCTCCAATGTTATTGAAGAAGACACCATGCATTGGCTTATCCTTGTGTCTCCGCAGAAGTAAGTTGATTTTTGCGGCTTTTATCTGAGCTTTTTGCTGAACGGGTTTCAACTCGGTGACAGAGTTGTGGTCACCTCGTTCAGATTCGAAAACTATATAGAGTTCATCATTATTATTATTATTATTATTATGTAATGATCAAAAGGGCCCACGTGTGTTATTTGTAGTTCTTTGAGAAACATCCAGAGATGTTTCAAAATCTCAAATTACAAAACTTTGTCGTGTTTAAGAATTCATCTGAATCCGTAAATTTGAATCAAAACCTATATTTATTTTTGAGTTATTCAGATTTAAAAAAAGCGATAAAATCAGGCTAAAATTAGAAACAAAAGTGGACCAAAAGACCTTGATGACATTCAACTGTAATTAGAAGTAAGATTTGTGAAAAATCAAAGTAAAGCTTGGGTGTGAGTTCAATTTGGTGATATTACATGTAATTCAAATGAAGACAGAATCCAACAAAACGAAATCAATTTATAAATTAGGCACAACAAATGTACACGTGAAGCTATTAATTGCATTCAATATTTAGGTAATTTGTACTCTGTGGTACTATAAATAGAGGTAATCACGTAAAATGCATTAGTTTTTGATATCACGTACACATAAATAAAAATGACACATGATATTGGATCGATTGATGTATCTAATTCTCTGAAGAAAGTATCAAAAAATCATTCTAGTTATCCAACAAGAAATTCAGATTAAAACTATGTGCCTCGAAAAAACTTGTCCATTCTATTGTGTTCAATCAGTCAGGTTGTTCTCATCAAATGTCTGAAGCAAACTAGTTCTCGATTAAAAAAGTATTCAATAAAAAGCTCGTAAGCTTTTACGTTTGATGAATTCTTCATCAACTTTCTGGGCATGATGGGTTATTAAGGCACTTACTGAAGATATGTTTCATGTATGAACTGAGACATTCGAGAAATGCTTCATATGAACTAGGGAGCATTTAGTGTCAAGTAGTCAATCAAAGTGGATTTTTATTTTTCGTAAATCTGAAGATAATAAGTAGATCAAAAGTATTCAATCACAATTTGTATAAAAGAGAAATGTTACGTGGATCATGTCTTTCTGATTGCTTTCTCTTTGTCAAGAGTGTTTGATGAGGCACGAAAACTGTATATTTTTTAAGTTTCACGAATTCAATGTGGTGTGCTTTATATCATATGGAAATAGGTGGAACCTTAAATGGGGAAAATGATGTTTGTCAATATCTAATAATGGCTTTTTCCAAAATGTAAACTTTTCCCTCATTATAATGAATTCAAAAACATACCAATACCAAATACTTGCCAAAAACATACCAAAACATACCAAAGCATACCAAAACATACCAAAAACATATAAAAGTCTTGAACAATCAAATTTGGGATACAAAAACATTTAGTGTCCTAACAATCAGTGAGGATGGAGAACAAATATCTAAATAACTACTACTACTACTAAAATACTGCTTAACTACCACACATTAGTGTCATAGGAGATATAGGTTCTAGAGCTAGAGGAATAGTTTAATATTTGACCAGAAATGGCCACAATCTTCTTATGCCACAACATCGATTGGCAATTACACTTAAAAGCTTTTTTACTATGGCGATAAGGCCCTTCAACCATCTACCACCATATATGAGGAAATTACATATGATTAAATTAAAAAAAAGTATAAAAGGGCTACTGGTTGATCTCTGCCCTTTTGACGTAAGTGAATTTTTCAACTGCAAGTTTTAATGATTTGCCTTTTTAATGTGTATGTATTGTGTATGTATTAATGTGTATGTTTTGTATTATATTTATCTACCTTAACGATGCTAAATCTGTTATATTGATAATAAGCAAATAAATTGATTGATTGATTGGCATCACTTTAGACTTTGCCAAACAAAGATTGCCTGGATGGCAAGAAGATTTATGGTCTTCGGGCAGAATCTTCCAGGATTGGCTCACTCCAAAACGTTTATTCACCTTTCGAAGCTTTATACCAAACAGTTGTTGGACTACAGTAGAGATGAACTACGATGTCTAACAGGCCTTCATTTGAATCATCATATGCAGATACTCGAACTGACGGAAGACAATGTGTGTCGCCTCTGTTTGGAATATGAAACAGCAGAGCACATACTTTGTGCCTGCCCCGCTGGGGACCGAATCAGGTTTTTAGAGTTTTGCAGAGCCGTACTCTTACTATCTGATCTGAGAGACCACTCACCATAAAAACTAATCGGCTTCGTTAAGAAGCTGAGTTTATTTGGTCGAGTGTGAACCCTTGCGGGATACGGTGGAGGGTTCAATAGACCCACTTACTTCAGACCTAATTCTAACCTAAAAACAAAAGTTCCAAACAGTGCACCACAAGTACGACCCTGAATAGGTATATTGTCCCAGTTCAGAAAACAATATC